GGGAGGGCTGGCAGCCAGATGTAGCTTAGGGGTTGACACCATCCATAAGATGCAAGGTGACACAGAGCAGGCCCAGCAGGGAGCCCCCCCACCCGATGGTGTCAGTGGGGAGGGGGGGGTCGGAGGTATGCTGGGGGTCAGGGCAGAGCCCGCGTGACCCCCAAAGTAGTCCCCTGTCGCTCATCGCCAGGTTTTCCCCGATCGCCATCGACGGCATGAGCGGCCTGGCGGGCGTGGGGCTGTCGGGGGGCGCGGCAGGCGCCGGCTGGTGCATCTTCGTGTACAACCTGTCACCCGAGGCCGACGAGAGCGTGCTGTGGCAGCTGTTCGGGCCCTTCGGGGCGGTCACCAACGTCAAGGTCATCCGCGATTTCACCACTAACAAGTGTAAGGGCTTCGGCTTTGTCACCATGACCAACTACGACGAAGCGGCCATGGCCATCGCCAGTCTCAACGGCTACCGTCTGGGTGAGCGTGTCCTGCAGGTGTCCTTCAAGACCAGCAAACAGCACAAGGCCTGAGCCTGCCCGGCCGCCGCCCTCCCCTCCCTGGGCAGCAGAGAGAGAGAGAGAGAAAGAGAGAGCGAGAGAGAGAGAGAGAAAGAGAGAGGCCAGTCCAGGCAGACCCACATCTCTGTGGAAGCCACAGCCCACTAAAGCTGAGCCCTCCGGGGACCAAAGGGTCTGGAAGGAACTGGGGGATTCCCTGGGGAGGGGAAGGAGTCGCCCCACCTTGTTCTCCCTCCCCCACCCATCTCAGGCTGGGCTGTTCACTCTCGTCTGGCTCATGGGGTAGGGAGGGGAAGGTTTTGTTTCTCTTTTTGGCTAAAAAGAAAGCAGAAAATGAGTGCCCCCCCTTCCCTTAACCATTCTACATGGGATGGATTGGTGGGGGGGTTCAAGGGGTGCCTTCCCAGGTCCCCCCATTTTCCCAGGCTTCCCCAATACCTTAGATGGGCCTGGAGAGACGAGGGAGGGAACAGGTTTAAACATTTGACCACCCCCCCAAACATAAAGCAAACCATGAAGAGGGGTGTGGGCATCCCGCATACCCCCCCTCCCCAAACCCCTGCCTGAGTAAAATGTGAGGAACAGGGCTGTGGGGGGGGTGGGAAAGAGTTAGGGCTGGAAGCTGAAACAAAATGACAAAAAAAAAGGGGGGGTGGGAGGGGAAGAAAAACTCTATTTTTGTAAAAAGGGGGAAAAAAAAGACCTTGTGGAGAATTTTTACTGGGGATTCTTGAACTTGAACTTAAAAAAAATGACAAAAAAAGACAAAAAAAATTAAGACTTAAAAAAAAATAAAACTATTTTGGCAGGTCATGATTATCAACCAGGGCAGGTGGGCGTGCAGGGAGTTGGGGGGCGAAGGGGCTGAGACCCCCACGGGGCCAGACACACACACACACACACACACACACACCACATTGCAGGACACACTTCAGGATCTCCTTGGCCAAAACCCAGGCGGCCATCATGGCTGGAGCTAATCCTAGACAAAAGCAAGAGATGGAAGTTTGGGGGTGAGGGTGGTTAGATCCCAAAGTAGGAAGACCCCACGGACATGAGAATGGACAGTTGTGTCCATCAGCCCACGAGGATGCAAAAACTCACAGATAGATTCATCTGAACACACACACCCCACACACACACACACTAAACACCCAGGGACGTGCACACATTTTTCCCAACATCCCATGGGGCAAGATGGCCCCAACCCAGAGCCAACCGCTCCTGACCCAGTCACATCCTCAGCTGCCCTCCCACCCCCTTCCTCAACTGACCACTCTTAGTCCCAACCCACCCTGGGCCCCAGGTTCTCTGCACAGATTTCTGGCTCTGGGTCTCCCTGCTGCCCACCTATAATATATACCTGGCAACCGTGCACCCAGGCACATAATACCTCTTCTACTTTGGCATCATGGTGGGGCTGGAGGTAGCCCACCTCCTACCCCCACAACATTGAGGCCAAAGGACCCCCCCTTCCTGTCCCTCCTGTTTCTGGGAGGCCCAGCCCTGAGCCTTTCTCCACTAAGGGCCAGGTCCCCTGCCGGTGCCCTCCCCCCGCCCCAAGCAGACATCCAGTACCCCCAACCCTGCCAGCCAGGCCCAGGGTGGAAGGGCTTGGGGCCTTACCCCACAACCCCTTCCTGTCCATCCAAATGCTCCCCCTCTCTTCCTCCTTTTGGTTGTTGGGGTTTTCCTGTTTCCAGATTGGGGGAGGGTGGCGGTAGTGGACACAGAGCCCTGGCCCTGGCTTCTGTCTGGATTTTGCACCCCTTTTCCTACCTTTTTTTTTTTAATAAATAAATAAAAATCTAACAGAAGCCAAAGGCCATGAGTCCCTGGAAGCCGTCCTCGAGCCCCACCTCCCCTCTCCCCACGGTGGGCCCAGTTAGAACTGAGAATTACAAAGCCCCCCCCTCCCCGCTCCCCCAACTCTGGTTCTTCTTGCCTTTCTCCTGGTGTTCTCTTGTTTGGTGTCCAGCCATGGCCTCATTGAACGTGTGACTCTCTCTCCCCACCCCTCCCGGTGTTGTTCTTTAACGTCTGTGGAGCTTCTGCTGCAAGGGACAAAAAAGAAAAAAAAAGAATAAAATTTAAAAAAAAAAAGCGACAAAAAAAAAACCAGAGAAAACAACAACAAAAGAGAAACCACAAACAAGAGGAAAACCAAACAAAAAGCAAAGGAAAAAACAAAGACCACCACCACACACACAGAAGAGATTGAAAAAAAAAGAAAAAAGGAAAAAACAAAAACAAAAAAAAGGACATAAACTGGCACCAGTTAACTTTCTTGTACTTTTTTGCTGAATTTAGCTTCTTGTAGTTTTTAACTTATTGCTATGTTAACTATTTATTACCCGTTCCCCTGTAAAGACATTTGTGTATATTTCTGTTCTTTCATCCGGTTTACAAGCGTAAAAGGGACGACAAATGTTCTCTTTGTTTCTTTTCAGTTTTGCTGAGATGTGGTTATGCCTAATTTATTTATTAAAAAAGGGAGTGGAATTATTAAAGTAATAATAATTATTAATAACAGTAATGGTAGCTGAGGGGCACCCAGGAGGCGTGGGCTTTGTGGGGCCTGCCCCAATCTTGGGGGGTTCTTAATGGAATTATTTTTGCTCTTGTCTTGAGAATTCTTTCAGTCTTATTTAGCTGGTGAAAACCCTAGCTTGTTGATGATACACAAACCTATTTATTCTTGTGGTTTTTAAGTCCTCCCTCTCCTTCCTCCTCCTCCTCCTCCTCCCAGCAGGGCAGACCCCCCCACCCTTTCCAGCGGGTGTACCCCTCTTTTCCCTGCTGTTTCTGGGGCTTCCCCCCCCTCCACCCTCCGCATAAATGCTGGAGGCATCCGAGCAATAAGGGCTGGGTGTGTCCCCCCACCCTGGGCGGGGCGGGGCTCTGCAGAGGGGGCACCCCCCCACACCCTCCCCTCCCCCGTCCCCACCAAGGCCTAGGTCCCTGCCAGGCCTGACTGGGTGGGACTGTTTGTTTTTTTTTCTTTTTTCTACAACACAAAAAGCTCAGCCCAGCCAGGTTCCCCACTTCCCGGGAGGCCAGCCCCCCCTTCCCAGGGGGGCCAGGCCAAGGGCAGTGGGGAGGGGGGCCTGGGGGGTCAGGGGCTGGGCCAGCGGGTGGGGGCTCCCCAGCCCCTCCAGCCCCCCTTCCTCCTGTTATTTATTTGAACAGGTTTCAGAATCCTGAGAGTCCCATGTTGGAGGTGATAAAAGAACTGTTCAAAAAAAAAGATAAAAAAAGACAAAAAAAACAAAAACCCCACACATACACATTATAAAAGGAAAACCCAAGAACACTTCACGTTGCTGCGTTTAGACTATTTATTACCGGGATACCAGGCCTGGCCGCGGTAACAAGACTTTTACATGGAATTGTTTAAATTATTTGTACTTTTCATGCCAGAAAATAAAAGTTCAGAATCTTAAGGCTTTGGCGTGGTGTGCGCAGGCGCGGGAGGGTCTTAAGGCTGTGGCGTGTGGTGTGCGCAGGCGCGGGAGGGTCTTAAGGCTTTGGCCTGTGGTGTGCGCAGGCGCGGGAGGGTCTTAAGGCTTTGGCCTGTGGTGTTCACAGGTGTGGGTCTTAAGGCTGTGGCATGGTGTGCGCAGGCGCACGAAGGTCTTAAGGCTGTGGCGTGCGCAGGCGCGGGAGGGTCTTAAGGCTTTGGCGTGTGGTGTGCGCAGGCGCGGGAGGGTCTTAAGGCTGTGGCATGGTGTGCGCAGGCGCGCGAGGGTCTTAAGGCTGTGGCGTGGTGTGCGCGAGCGTGCGGGGGTCATAAGGCTGTGGCCTGGGCGCCAGGGAGGGCTGGGGCATCTGGGCGTGGCTGTGCCTACTGTGCGGCCTGATGCGGGTTGCTAACCCTCTCTGGGGCTGGGGAATCTCCTGTCCTGGATTGGCCCACGTTTCCCTGTGCTCTACCCCAGTTGATCAAGGCACACAGAGCCAAGATTTTTTGGGGGGAGGGAGAAAGTCACATTTATTGTTCCGAGGTCACACAGGTCAAGACATTCTCTGATTTCCCCACCAGGAGTGGGGCGAGGGGGTGGAGGGAGGGCAGGGGCTGGGGTGGGCCCCAAGGGAGGGCAGTTTCTTAATCCCATCTTTGGAAGCCGCAGCTGGGACTGAGGCCGGGAAGTGGGGACCTGCTTGATTCCTCCCCCAGGGAGGGCCAGGCCTTAGTCCACAAATAGAGGGGCGCACGCACGGGTGGCAGGGCGGGGGCTGCCTTCACACGCGGGAGGACCTGGGATGGGAGAGAAAGGAACGGGGTGAGAAGCTGGAGGCACTCTGTGGGTGCCACCCCCCTCCCCCCCTTGTTTTGTGCTGGTCCTGGGGCTTGAACTCAGGGCCTGGGTGCCGTCCTTGAGCTCTTTTGCTCGAGGCTGGTGCTCTGCCACTTGGGCCACAGCGCCACTTCTGGCTTTTTGGCGGGTGATTGGCATCTGAACCACGATCCTCAGGATCTCAGCCATCTGGTGAGCTGGGATTGGGGGAGGGGGGCGGACATGAGCCACCAGCCCATCTTCATCTTCCTCGTACTCACCTCTCGGCAGCCGCAGGCTGAGGGGAGCTCACAGCTCGTCGTGGTCGCCGTCGGGGGGCAGCTCGGGGGGCGGCTCGGGGCAGGCGGCGGGCGTCACCAGTTCCATGAGGTATTCGCAGCGGCTGGGCTCTGTGGTGCTGGCCACCGCAGTCTCCTTCCCACACAGCAGGCGGACCTGGGGACAGGGACGTGTGGGAGGGTTGGAGGAGGGGGAGCGGGTATCACCCCCCCCCTGCCCCGTGGGCACTCACGGTGGTGGAGCGGTTGGGGCCTTGCCAGCATCCCGTGCCCTGCTCGTACTTCATAGCACTGAACTTGTCATGGTCGGGGCCGGCCCACGAGCCCCAGGTGCTGCAGGGAGGGAGGGGATACTGAGCCCTCCTCCACCCCCCAGGTGGACGGGTGGGGGGTGTAGAGTGTGGGGGGGGCCCAGCCTAAGCCCACTCACCCAAGGTTGGTGGGGGAGCCGCCGTGTTTGGGCTTCTGAGAGACCAGTTTGAAGGGGCAGAGCCTGTACACGTACCTGTTGAGGGATACGGCAGGTGTGTGTGGGGGGACACAGGGAGCCCCCCACCCCCATGTGCTGGGGAGGCGGCCTCATTTTTCTTGCTTTCTTTACACAGCATCTGTCCCTAGAGTCCATGCTGGCTTCTAACTTGCAATCCCCCAGTCTCAGCCTCCCAAGAGCAGGGATTATAGGTGTACACCACCACGCTCAGCTGTGTATGTGTGTAGGGCGGGACTTCCTGCTCACATGCACCCCCAACCCTCAAGCCATCCCCACCGGGAAACCCCACCCCTCCCTGCCCTGCTTAGGGTCCAGGGACAGGGTCAGGGACAGGGACCGCGACGGGACGGGCTGGGACGCACTCATTGGTGGTGAGCTCGTAGCACTGGCTGTACAGGTAGGCGAACTCTCCATGGGGGCCGAAGTCAAAGGAAATCTCCTGCTCCAAGCTCCTGGATGGACAGGCCCAGGGAGAATGGGGGGTGGGGTGGGGTTGAAGACCCCAGACCCTGACACAGGAGACAGACCCCGCCCCCCAAGGGCTGAGCTCTTATCCACTACTACCTGGGAGCCTCCCTCTAGGCAGGGGCCAGCCTGGCCCCTTGGGTACCTGATAGAGTCCTCCATCTCCTTCAAAGAGCGCTCAGCCTCCTCGAACTTGGTGCGGGCCTCCTGGGCAGCTTGGGGAGGGGACAGAAGTGGAGGGGGGGCTCAGTAGCCAAGGAAAATGTGTCTCCTGCGCTCCCCCCCCAACTCCCCTGGATAAGAACAAATCCCCCAAATAGCCCAGGGGGCCCCTGCAGGTACAGGGCAGCCTCACGCCGCTGCTGGGTGCCCCAGGGAACCCTGCCAGGGCTCCTGGGGCCCAGCTGGACTACTGGGGGGGGATGCTGGCACAAACAAGCTGAGCCCCAGGGGAAAGCTGGGGGAACCCTAGGCTTCAGGGGGGGACTGGGCCTCTGCAAGCTTCAAAGCCCCTTTTGGGGACTCCCAGAATACTGTAAGGGTGATGGGGGGGGAGGAGACACCACGTCTGAGCCTCACCGTCAATGAAGGCCTGCGTCTGCTCATCGTAGGCTGGCATCTTGTCCTCCTCGGGTCCCGGGCTGGGAGGCTGGGGGGGCTGGAGAGGCGGGGCCTCCTAGGGGAAGGGGCGGGGTGAGTGGCCACTCCCCCACCCTGCCCCATTCCGTGCCCCAGCATCTCCACCACCACACACCTGCACCTCCTCTTCTTCCTCCTCTTCCTCCTCCTCCTCCTCGTGGTCCTCCTCCTCCTCCTCGTCTTCCTCTGCGGGCTGCTGGGGTGCAGGCGGCTCATCGTCCCTGGGCTCCGGCACATCAGCGGTGGGAGGCGCGGGTGGGTCGGTGGGCAGCGCCTGGCATGGGGGTGGTGGGGTTGGGGGGCCCAGTGCTGAGGGGCAGCCTCCGCTGCCCTCCACTTCTCCAGCCACTGGCAGCAGGGGCCCGCTGCCGCCATGGCGCGAGGCTGCCAGGGCTGCCCAGCTGGCCGAGGTGGCCGGGTGCCAGCGCGCGAGGCCTGCTGTGAGGCGGCGGGGGGCAGAGGGGGGGGCGGCTGGGCAAGGCCGGGACCAGGTCCCTGCCTCTCTGCACACGCACCTCCGAGCGGTACTTGTCCCTGATGGCAGCCCAGACACGGTCATAGAACAAGGCGGCGTCGGTCTGCGTGTCCCCGCTGAGCAGGGCCTGCGTATGAGATGGGGTCACTACGGGGATCGCCACGCCAGGCATTCCGGGCTTGGGCTGCGGTGCCAGGCACGGGTATGCCAGGCCCTGGGCCCCAGAGGGCAGGCGTGGGGTGCTAGCGCAGGAAGGGGGCGGCACAGGGCTGAAGGGAGGAGCCAGGGAGAGGGACAGAGGGACAGGACAGGGAACAGATGGACAACGACAGGGTGGTACAAGAGTGCCCCGGCCCTTCGATGCCAGGGCCCAGGAGGGCTGGGGAAGGACCCAGAGCAGGCGGGAATGGACGGGTAGAGGGGTGAGGGCAGAGACTGGAACAGGCGCCGCCATGCCCTGGAGCTACTCTGGGTCCTGGGTCCCTGAGGCCTGTGTTTTCTAGAAGCCCCACGTCCAGGGCAAGCTGGGGTACCTGGGCCTCCCCCTCCGAAAACATCCCGTCCCCATCCGTGTCCAGCTCGGGGTGGGTCTGCAGCTCAGCCACGGAGACCCTGCAAGGACAAGCCAGGAGAGGTGACGGTCTAAGCCACAGGGAGTGTGGGAAAGAGCTTCCAGGGTTGGGGGCCCCATCTCTAGAATTAACTCTGGGCCTCATGGCTGTAGGACCCCAACAGGGACTCAAAACAGGCAAAGGGGTCGGGCACCAGTGGCTCACGCCTGCAATCCTAGCTGCTCAAGAGGCTGAGACCTGAGGATCGTGGTTCAAAGCCAGCCCAGGAGGAAAATCCGTGAGACTCTTTATCTCCACTGAACCACCAGAAAACACGAAGTGGCGCTGTGGCTCAAGTGGTAGAGCGCTCACCTTTAGCTGAACAGCTGAGGGACAGCGCCCAGGCCCAGAGTTCAAACCCCATGACCGACAAGAAATAAACGAAACGCTTGCCTTGAGCTGAAGAGCTCAGGGACAGCACCCAGGCCCAGAGTTCAAGCCCCAGGACTGACAAAAAAGAAAAAAGAAACAAAAAAAACCAAGGGGGTGAGACTGGGAGGCACCTGGCCCCCCACATCTTAAAATCCCCTTTATCTGCCTCTCCGCCTCCCACCTCCTCCTGTCTTTCCAACCCAACACACGGAAACAATCTACTGTCCCGTGCCTCTACCAGGCCCTGTACCGCATCGTGTACCTCCGGAACTGGCACTGACCCCCTCTCCCATTCCTCCGCATCTACAGGCTCTGTTGCCCTCGGTCCCTGACAGCCTGCCCTCTACCCAGCCCTGCAGGTCGCGGAGGCCCAAGCCAGGTCTCAGACCCAGGGACGGAGGTGGGGCTTAGCGCTGGGGGCGTGGCTAGGACACTGGGGAGGAGCTAGGAGGTAGTGGACTCCATCCAGAGCTCTTGCCTAGCTAGCAAGCATGAGGCTATGGGTTCTACCCCAGCAGCAAGGAAAACAGTTACAACAAAAGCCCACAGGATGAGAGGGAGGAAAACAATATGACCCCTCAGAGAGCAGCTTCTCTAAGACTGGGGATTACTCCAGGCCTTGGGGGGTGAGGGGCCCCAGGGCCCCCCGAGGATGGCCGGGTCACACTTACACGCCATCCATGTTGTCATCCAGCTCCTGGAAGGCGTTGGCTGACAGCTCCTGCTCCCTCTGGGCCCTGGAGGCAGCCTGCTGCTCTGTGGGGATGCAGGCTCTGTCACCCGGTGCACCCAGCCCGCCAGCTCCCACCACCCTGAAACTGGCCTTCACCGGACACAAAGCACCCATGCTGGGCCAGACACAGCTGTGAACAGACCGGACAAACAAGACGACGAAGGCTGGGCATGGTTGTGCATGGCTGTAACATCAGCTATGCAGGAGGCACAGGCAGGAGGATCACTGCCCGAGGTCAGGCCTGGCCAAAACCACGAGACCTTACCTGAAAACTAACAAGCAGCTGGGAGCCGTAGCTCACGCCTGCAATCCTAGCTACTCAGGAGGCTGAGATCTGAGCTATCCCCGTTCAAAGCCAGCCCAGGTAGGAAAGTCCGTGAGACTCTTATCTTCAATAAACCACTCAGAAAAGTAGAAGTGGCGCTGTGGCTCAAGTGATAGAGCGCTCGCCTTGAGCTGAAGAGCTGAGAGACAGTGTTCAGGCCCAGAGTCCAAGCCCCACGACTGACCAA